CCCACGCCCTTCTTTCTCCAGGGAAGGACCCCACCTAGTAGGATTGTGATAATACGCATTACTTTTCCTGGTAATGAAATGCAACATGTCTCGGGGTGGAACCCGGGCCCACTATTTCTTTTATGACACAGTATGAATGTTTTCAGCTCTTGAATTTTTTTTTTTTTTTTGCAGAGTTCAAATTTCATAACAATTTTCCTCTTAGCAAGACAAAAATTTTTTAAAGAGAAATGATCTGATTCAGTAGCCGGGAAAACAGTTCATAGGAAAATTCTGTGAAAATTCTATGATCCCAGAAAGAGCTTGGGTTGAGTCCCTTCCTGGCGTCTGCTGGTTGGAAGAGGCAGCGTAACAAGGGAGTGAAAGTTGGCAGTGAAGAGGAAGGCTGGGTCATGACCCCAGTCCTGGGAAGAGAATGAACTAGCTGCCAGGGTCATAGTCACACTGCTTGCTAAAGGGCAGGGTGAGAGGGAGGCTCCTTGGCCTAAATGTGGACAATGGAGAGAAAATCAGAAGAGAAAAACAAGTGATCTGGGACTGTTTGTGAAACTAGATAAAAAACAGGTCATCTGAAGATCACTCTCAACCACTGCGTTAGGAAGCCAGAGAAACACATTCAGACATTTGTGTCCCTCTGGTCACAGTGGACACTTTAACTAGCACTTGTGGCTAAACTTAAGTCATGGGACACGGGACTAGAGAAGGGGCTGTGGAAACATCCGCATGTATTCAACAGACCAAACCAGACAATTTGAGAGTCATTATCCAGACTGAGTCACAAAACACTGAAGAAAACCTCGCACTAGCAAAGGGACCTCCACCCTATCACAGTGACACAGTGAGGTCTGCCCCCAAAGACAGATCCACGCAGAAAAGCAGCAGATGCTGCAGTGGGAGGATTAGGGCCACCAGCTGGAAGCCAAGTGGGTCACAAGATAAGTCCTAAAAGGCAAGTGGGAATTTATTTTTCATCAAAAAAAAAAAAAAAAATCAACACTAGTATTTAAGAAAATGACATATAAATGCAGAGAAATCTTCCGGTTTCACAGACTGCAGCTCATTTGGAGTAATACACAGCCAAAGTAAGTATTTAAAAACCCAAAATGGAACAGAAGCGGCATTTCTCTAAAAGCAAACTTGGCTGGCATTTCAACTGAGAATTCCAATTCAGATTGGTGGAGGAAGCACTCACATCATAAATCTGGGTGAATGTGTTTTATTGTTATTAAGTAATTAAGCTACTGAGCAGGCTGTCTCCCTAAATTGAGAGGTGTACTTTGTCTCTGGAGAAACGTCAGGAGAGAGGACAGGATTTACGTGCTGTTAAAAGTGAAAGAAAATGCATTATTGTGGAAGTGAGGGGTAGGAGGTAGGCAGTGAGGAGATTCTACATCGGACCCAGAGTATAGATCCGATGTGTGGCTCCAGGGCAAACTGGCTACCGATCTGCCTCTAAGATTGTTCTCTGTCCTCACTCTGACCCTCCAGGACAGCAAAGCAGCATCCACTTCCAGCACCGCTCCCCGTTAATTCCTCTTCCCATTCAATACTGCTAATGTGGAGCTCTCTCCCTGAGAACTTGAAATATGACTTCTGTGAGTTTTGCATGTATTCTGCCACGTATATTCCTCATTTTCATCAATCTGGCTCTTAATGTCCCCTCCAGTGAGGCAGCCAAATAGAAGAAACACACAATTCTAAAAACTACCTCCTTCAGTACCTTTTTTTCCATGGAATTTTTTTCCCCCTAATTTGGTAGACAGGGAAGGACAGTCAGTCCCAACTTCAGAATTCTGGGTTTTCCTGTATACACACCGCAGATCCAAGAACCTTGCTTCAGGGACTCACAAGTTTGAACCCTAAGAAACATTCCCCTCTGGCGGCACCTCCTAAGATTCCATGTTGTTACTTCATGCGATGGAATTAAAAAGAAACAATCTGCATTTTGTTTAGAAGCCAATGATCCAGAAGGTATGGATTATTTAAAGAGTCTGTTCAATTTCTCTCATTTTATCATGTGTTTTGGCAAGAAGGGGCATCCAAATAAATGTCTTTGTAATTTAGGATATGATGAAAAGGATGCCGGGTAAGATTGAAACTCAGGAGGAACATGATTTAGAATAATCCTATCTCTTAATATACACAGACACAGACACACTCATGTATGATAGCAGATTAAAATGACATGGACAACCCCTCCTCCCATGACAAGATTGAGAAAATGGAACGAAATTTTTGTTTTAATAGAGCCAAGCTTTGAAGAAAGAACAAGAAATGTCCAGGTGCCACAAAGAACTCAAAATCTGGAATATAAGCCTTAAGGGCTGGTAGTTGCGAATAGGAAACGGCTTTGGGTTCTTGCAAGGGAGTGAACCTAGAAACCCAGAAGTAAGATTGTTGAACAAAGCACAGAACCTTACATTGCTCCCTGCAGCCTCACACTACCAGAATACCGCCTGTCAGCCCAGAGCAAAGACAAACTACCGGCGGGGTAGGGGCGCGGCGCTTTTCGGCAGGATGAGGAACCTACGAGAAAAATAGAAGAACCATGCATGTAAGTGTCACCGTAGATCTGTATTACCATGAGGTGCGAAAGTGACCCAAAAATGGTCCTGGGACTCTGGCACAGGAAACCCCCAAATTCCTCTGCAGCAATACCATCAAAACCCTGGGACACAGATCACTCACAAAATAGCCCTTGCTGGAGATGTGTTCACAACCCTGAAAACTCCATGAGGAAGCCAACTATCATTAGGAGAGTCAACGGACACAGCTAACAGAAAAATTAGCATTCCCCAAAACTCAAGAAAATAGAATTGAGACTATAAAATAAATATGGTTAAAATGATTCATAAAAGAATATAAAAACTATAATAAAAAAGTATGAAAAAGATAAATTTGAGAAAGAATCAAAGACAACTTCGGAAACAAAAATAAAGTCTAAAAAGCTCAATGACTGAAATAAACAGATGAGACAGGGCTGAGAACAGAATCAGTGAGATAAATACAAAGGAGTTAACTGAGAATATAGCATGGAGAAACCTAAAATATATGAAACAGGACAGGTTCAACATAGGTATAAAAGAAACCCCAGAAGAAAAGAATAGACAGTGGGGATGAAATAATACTCAACAAAATAAGAACATCCAAAATTTTCTTAATGAAGAACACAGAGATGAGACCTGAACAAAGGGAATAAAAATAAATTCAGATCTAGGCATGGCAGCGGGCGCCTGTAATCCCAGCTACTCAGGAGGCTGAGGCAGGAGAATCGCTTGAACCTGGGAGACTGAGGTTGTGGTGAGCCAAGATTGCGCCATTGCACTCCAGACTGGGCAACAAGAGCGAGACTCTCTCAAAAAAAAGAAAAAACCAAATAAATAAAATAAAATAAATCCATACCTCAACAGAGGTGAAAACAAACACTGAAGACAAAACAAGGGGAAAATGTGAATCATGCCTGTTATCAAATAGTTAAATAATCCAAAAATGTGTATATATGCTGTGTGCCTAACATCAATTTCATGCAGAGATGCTGATTTTAATATACGGAATGGCAGCGTGCCCTCTGGCTCACTCATGTTCTGCAGGAATGGGCTTAGGTGCAGCTCAATTTCAGAAAACCTCAATTTAGTCCAAAGTTTGTCAGTCTAAACAGACTCAGGAATCTACTACTGCCACACATCCAGGGACACTAAACTATGTTGAGCCCTGCATTTGTACTCTCAATTTCTGAAGCATACACACTATTCTACTATGTTACAACTGCCAATTTTTCTTAATGCCCAAATTAATTAAAGTGTTGGCTTTTATAACCTAATTTATCCAGCAATAAAAGCACCTAGAATGTATTTTGATGACAAGAACCCCATCTTGTGGCAAAATGTTTCACAGCTGAGTCTGGCTGTGTACTGTATTCTCATTCTCACTCTGAAGATAAATCTGCATTGAGAAGTTATCATTTTATCTGCTTTACCAGACAGAATTTCTAACCCAGCATTTATCTTGTGTCTGCGACGGCACCAAAGTATGCAGTAAATCTGTGCAACACAGTAATTCTGGGGCTTTGTGAGTTATTTTCAAGTGAAAGCTGGTCGTCTTTGTGCAGCTTACTGCAGAAATATTTTAAGAGAAAAACAAACACTGACTAGGGTTAGCTTCTGAAATATAATCTGCCCATTCTAGGAAGGGTTCAGGTATCTGCACTTCCTATAAGATGAATTCACTTAACGAAAGCAATCAAAACAAAACCTCCTCAAATCCACACAAAATGACACCATAATGAGCACCATACATAATAAAGCTACTGCACACACAGCACACTTGTATTTCATAGCATTCATGTTATTCCTCTAAAAGGTGGCTTTTAATCAATTTCTCTGCCCTTCCTATTTTAAAAGACAGAATTATATTCTAAAATATTCTCCCCATTTTTTCTTTTACTAGGAATGTCCAGCACGGGAAACCATGACAAAATGCTCTCTAAGAATACAAAAACATTAGCCGGATGTGGTGGTGTGTGCCTATAGTCCCAGCTACTTGGGAGGCAGAGCCCAGGAGAGGCCAAGGCTGCAGTGAGCTAAGACCATGCCACTTCACCACAGCCTGGCCAACAGAGTGAGACTCTGTCTTAAAAAAAAAAAAAGGAATGTCTTCCTCAATGTTTTCTACTGTCCCTATTTGGTTTTCCTGAAGAAATTTTACAAGGCCTTATTGTTAATAAGTTAAAAAATGTAATAAAGCATTGAGCATGATATCTGACTCAAAAACATTAGTTATGATTATTGCTTTCGTTATTGTTGTTATTGACAATCAAATACAGAAAGACGCCCAAAATAGCTTATCTTCCTCAACTGGCAAAGACTTAAAGAAAAATCCAGTTCAAAAAGTCAAATTATATTTTTATCAAAAGCAAAACTGAAACAATACTTTTCTCCCCTCAAAATCTGTTTTTAAAGGGTTAAAAAGGACAGTACATCAATATTAAAAGAGCTTTTTTTATTTGTTAATGTCACATAAGAAATTTAAGCAAGTTACACTATCTTAAAAAACACAATGGATGCATTTTAATAGAGAAACCCTTCCCTCCCTCCACCTCCCTCCCCCACCCTCCTCATGAATTAAGAATCTAAGAGAAGAAGTAACCATAAAACCAAGTTTTGCGGAATCCATCATCCAGAGTGCTTACATGGTGATTAGGTTAATATTGCCTTCTTACAAAATTTCTATTTTAAAAAAAATTGTAACCTTGATTGCTTATTACAAAAAAATTCGGTACAAAAGTTCAGTAGATTGAAAAATGCGTTCCCCCTCCCTCACAGCACCGTTATATATAGCAGAGAATAATGAAGAGCAGATTGCTGGTCTAGATGGAGCAATCTTCAAATTATACCGAGACTCACAGTGGTTTATTCACCCTCCCCTCCTCATCAGAACTTAAAAAAAAAGAAAAAACACGTACAAAAAAAGTCAAAAAATGTGAGGAACCCCTTCCAAACAGTACACAGTTATTAAGTTCAGTGTCAATAATTCACATCTTGCAACAAAGTGTATGGACATGATTTCTTTTACAAAACTTTCAGTGTCAAAAAGGAAATTAAGGCCATCAGATTTGCAGCTTAAAAATTCACATAAAGGAAATATAAAAATATTCTGTGCTTCTGAGAAGGCTCTGCACTGTATACAGGTAAGGATTACCATACTTCTTTATTTTGAGGAAGACAGTTGATGAGAATTTTACATAATTGCACAGCTTCTATTGGATGTTCTTGGGGTTCCCTGATGAGGAAAACAGAAGGAAAAATTAATACTAAAGAAACAGATGACAGTATTCTAAAATAAGACAAAAACTTTTAACTGCAGGGATGCTACAAAACCATATTACCTAACCTCAAAAGGGCCCTTTATCATCTCTCATCTTTTCTAACCTTTTTTTTCTTTTTGTTTGTTTGTTTGTTTGAGACACAGTCTCACTCTGTTGCCCAGGCTGGAGTGCAGTGGTGCAATCTTGGCTCACTGCAACCTCCACCTCCTGGGTTCAAGCGATTCTCCTGCCTCAGCCTCCCGAGCAGCTGGGACTACAGGTGTGCATCACCACCACACCCAGCTAATTTTTATAATTTTAGTAGAGGCGAGGTTTCACTGTGTTAGCCAAATTGGTTTGGAACTCCTGGCCTCAAGTGATCCACCAGCCCTTGGCCTCCCAAAGTGCTGGGATTACAGGCAGGAGCCACCGTATCTGGCCTCTAACCTTCTTTTTGGACTTTTTTCTAGAATACGCACCCCTCCTCCAACAAATTCCAGAACAGTAATTGTCAACTCTGGCTACACATTCAGATCCTGAGGAGTTTAACAAAAAATTCTGATCTAGGTCCCTTGATCAATCAAATGAGAATTTCTCATTTTAGTGGGAAAGGGTAGCTATCTATATATAATTTTAAAGTAATTCTAATATGCAGCTCAATTTGAAAACTATTGTTCAATAACTTCCTTTGATAACTTAAGAAACAGGAGATCAGTGGATCAGCTTTAACAAGCACATTTGCAGACTACAGCTTGCTTGATCCTGAACTTACACACCCCAAGCCATCTGCAGTGGATTTGTCCTCCAAGGTGAAGTCAACGTGGCTCCTCTATCCATTTCTTTATCACTCATTAATTTCATACAACCTCACAGTATGACTTGTGACTCACCACTGATTGAACTAAAACTAGTTTTTTGAAGGTCACCAAAATACTTCTAATCAATTCAAAACGCGATTGGATTCATTCTCAAATATGAAGTTCAAACACCTGTTCTGCCCTTCCATCTTCCCTCTTATGAACCTCGGTATCATTATTTTCTGTGATCACACAAGCTAAAAACCTCATGCATCTTTATTTTTATTTTATTTTTTGAGACGGAGTCTTGCTCTGTCGCCCGGGCTGGAGTGCAGTGGCCAGATCTCAGCTCACTGCAAGCTCCGCCTCCCAGGTTTACACCATTCTCCTGCCTCAGCCTCCCGTGTAGCTGGGACTACAGGCGCTCGCCACCTCGCCCGGCTAGTTTTTTGTATTTTTTAGTAGAGACGGGGTTTCACCGTGTCAGCCAGGATGGTCTCGATCTCCTGACCTCATGATCCGCCCATCTCGGCCTCCCAAAGTGCTGGGATTACAGGCTTGAGCCACCGCGCCCGGCCGGACATCTTTATTTTTTTTCTTCTCTCACGCTCAAGTTTAGTCACTAAGCCTTAATAAATCTCCATTATATATTCCCTCAGTGCCTCTGGAATCTCCCCTCTGAGTTAGTCCCTCTGATTCAGCTTGGCCAGTGATATTTTTAAATGCAGTCTTAATTTCTCCTTTGTTCCAAATTGTACAGAAGCCACATCCCTAAGCATTCCACACTATGCCAGTTTAATCCCAATCTTTCAACTTCATTTCTCTCTCACATAAACCCTACAAAATACCTGAATGAACAGATATACTTGGTGCATTAAGTCTTTTTTTTTTGAGACGGAGTCTCGCTCTGTAGCCCAGGCTGGAGTGCAGTGGCGCGATCTCGGCTCACTGCAAGCTTCACCTCCCAGGTTCATGCCATTCTCCTGCCTCAGCCTCCCGAGTAGCTGGGACTACAGGCACCCGCCATGGTGCCCAGTTAACTTTTTGTATTTTTAGTAGAGACGGGGTTTCACCATGGTCTCGATCTCCTGACCTCGTGATCCGCCCGCCTCGGCCTCCCAAAGTGCTGGGATTACAGGCATTGAGCCACCACCCGGCCGCGTTAAGTCTTTACACATCCTCTGTAATGAGTTAAAGATCACCATGAATTCTTTGCCATTCCTCCCACCAACAGGGGGAGACTATTTACCCCCACTTTGAATCTGGACTGGCCTCATAACTTTGACTAAGAGAATGTTGTAGAAGGGACAAAGGGCCCGACCTTTAAGAAACGCAGTACTCTCTGAGATCGAGACTGTCGTGGCCAACATGGTGAAACCCCATCACTACTAAAATATAAAAAATTAGCCATGCGTGGTGGCACATGCTTGTAATTCCAGCAACTTGGGAGACTAAGGCAGGGGTATCTCTAGAACCTGGGAGGCGGAGGTTGCAGTGAGCTGAGATTGTGCCACTGCACTCCAGCCTGGCAACAGAGCAAGACTCTGCCTCAAAAAAAAAAAAAAAAGAAAGCTGGTACTCTCCACTTACTCCGTTAGACAATTGCCATGCTGTAAAGCTTTGGCTGAACTCTTAAATCGTAGAAATCCACACAGAAAGAGACCTAAAAGATATTCCAGCCCAGGTCAACCTCTGAGCTGAACGCAGCCTGCTTGATTGAGTTCAGTGTGCAGCATGTGGAACAGAAACACTGCCCAGCTGAGCCCAGTCAAACCACAGAATTATGGGAAGTAAGAAATCAACTGTTTCAAGCCACTAAGCTTTAGGGTGGTCTGTTAATGAAGCAACAGATAATTCCAACATCCTCACAACACCATCATCTGCCTTCTCTCCAATACTCAAATAATTACCCATCCTTCAATTAGTGGACAAGCATCACCTCCCAGAGTTCTTCTCAACTACTCTGCTGGCCTGGAGTACCTCCTCTAGCATCTGACATGCTATAACTCATGCTGAGCCACTTGTCTGGCGCTGTGAGTTATCTCTTACATAATTACTTCTAGTAATTACGATGTTTCCTATTTAAGCACAGAAAATGGAACTTGTGCTTGTTTCTTGTAAGCTAAGTGTAATGTATATGTTTTAAAATATTCCTCCTAAATGTACGAGAAGGCATCCAGGTAAAAAATTCATGCTACCTCATGCAACCCACCTCAAGTGGTTCTCAACCCTGGGGATTAAATACATGAGACAGTGTTTATTTAGATCAGGACTAAGGCTAATGAAGCAAAGCAGACTTAAGACTAAAAATCTGGAGCCATGGAGACAAAGTCTTCTCAGGATAAGGGTAGACACTTTGATTAATGATCAGACTCAAACAGCTTGAGAATATAAACTGAAGGCTCATTAGTTATTAATAATTCCAATTTAATTACAATTAAAACCAAGTTTGGAGTTTCTTTATTTCAAGGGCTCTCAAAAGCCCAACCATCAGCTAAAATCTATCTTGCAATTAGACAATGATTAGGAACTTAATAGAGCAAGAATTGTGTTTCACACTGAAGTTGAATATTCCTTTGTTTTTTTAAAGTTTATATGCAGATGCTTGCTCTAAATTAGTGATCTGAACTTTTTAATCATAGAACCCCACAGAGTAAACAAGTTTGGGGGCAAAACATCCAATCCATAGACATGTTTTACTATAACACATAATGCACATGAGAAAACAAAAGACAAAACTGAAATTTGGTAGTATGAGAAAAAATAAAAATAAAAGTGTCAACATATTCTTCCAGTACCCTAAAGTATCACCTTGAATATCCCTTTGGGGAATACAAACCCCACTTGGTAGATAACTGCTCTGGTTCATCAACTGATAGGGGAAAAACCCAACCACACTCTTGGTCTTCATGCAATTCTGTTAATAAAATTTAAAATAAATATATTAAATAAATAAAGTAATACCTGCTGGTGGAAAAGTTCTTCCTCAACAACCACTCCAGCTGCTTCTTCCTCCTCCTCCTCTTCTTCAGGTATGGTTGTTTTAAAGACTGTACTTCTTTGAGCAACCTCCTAAAAACAATAGTAGTTTGCTTTTAAGTTAAAAAACACACTTAGAATCACCAAGTGCGGGGGAGAGGGACCTTTTCTTTGCTTAAGAGACAGCATTTCTTGCCAGGCACAGTGGCTCACACCTGTAATCCCAGCACTTTGGGAGGCCGAGGCGGGCAGATCACCCGAGGTCAGGAGTTTGAGACCAGCCTGGCCAACATGGTGAAACCCTGTCTCTAGTAAAAATACAAAAATTAACCGGGCATGATGGCACGTGCCTGTAATCCCAGCTACTCAGGAGGCTGCGGCAGAAGAATGGCTTGAATCCAGAAGGCAGAGATTGCAATGAGCTGAGATCGCGCCACTGCACTCCAGCCTGGGCGTTGCAGCAAGACTGTCTCAAAAAAGAAAACAAAAAGAGACAGCATTTCTGTTTATTATTATTACTATTATTTATCCCTTTTTTTGGAGACAGAGTCACTCTGTCACCCAGGCTGCAGTGCAATGGCATGACCTCGGCTCATTGAAACCTTCACTTCCCAGGTTGAAGAGATTCTCATGCCTCAGCCACCCCAGTGGCTGAGATTACAGGCATGCACCACCACGTGCAGCTAATTTTTATGTATTTTTAGTAGAGATGGGGTTTTGCCACGTTGGCCAGGCTGGTCTTGAACTCCTGGCCTCAAGTGATCCACCCACCTCAGCCTCCCAAAGTGCTGGGATTACAGGCATGAGCCTCCACACTCAGCCCCTGTTTATTATTTTTAAAGGGGTGGGGTCGGGGGAGCAGTATTTCAGTAACTTTCTGGTTAATGAACTGAAATTTCTGCATAACTAGTAGCAGTTCTTATACCTTCCATATTTCCTATAGGGGAGGAAGTGTCATCCAATTTGAAATACCTGCTGAGAAGTTTCCACTGCTTTTTATACTATTCTGTTACTAAGAATTCTACAAATTATTTGACATACTAAATTCTTTATACAACTCAACATTAATTCAGCTTAAAGATTTTAGATCCTGGCAAAGAGAAGGTGCTAAATAAATGCTGACCAAGGAAGATGGACCATTCTGAGTCTCTCAATTAGCCAATAACTTCAATTCTGTGACACTGGTCTATCTTTACAAACAGAAATAGCCAATTCACAAATATTAGTGTTTTAACCAAATTAGTAATAAAAAGAAATGTGATTCCTTAGATCAACCACCATTCAAGATATCAACTAGGAGAAGCTGGAAGCCAACTGTGATCTCAGGGACCATCAGCAACAGGACCACCTGATGAGTGAGAAGAAAGGACAAGCTCCTTTCATTCCTTTCAGCAACTGACACCTCTTGAATGAAACAAAATCAAGACAGATGAACACTGTACACTATTTACCAGTAACGGACTAGTGAGGTTCCAATGTATTTCTGTACAGAAATAGGTCTCCTATCATTCACTAAAGGTATGACAGAAAGCAATTATTTCCATTTTCTACTAAAAAGGTCAAATACAGATTACGTTCCTGTGGAAAATGCTGACTTGGCACAAATGCAGCAGTGTTTTTGCTTAAGTACAAGGCTAACCTGACGATCTGGCAGCAAGTAAATGAGTGTGTCCTCAAGAGTGCTGCAGAGCATATAATTTTATTCTGTCCCATGTCCTAAGGTCATTCAAGAAAGAGAATGCTACAGGGGAAGACACAATATTACTTCAGTAAAAGCTTATCTAACACAGACCAGCTAGTTTACAATGGCAGAGAAAGAAAACCAAAACCCAGTGTCACAGAAATGAGACTTCGATTTGAAATATGCCCAAGAATGTGTTTTGTAAATAAAGTAAGGTGGCAGAGTAGTATTTTGTGGATTTTTTATTACTCTTGCAGGACCAAGGAAGATGGACCATTCTGAGTCTCTCAATTAGCCAGTAAGTTCAATTCTGTGAAACTGGTCTATCTTTACAAACAGAAATAGCCATTTCAAAAATATCAGTGTTTTAACCAAATTAGTAATAAAAAATAAATGTGATTCCCTAGATCAACCACCATTCAAGATATCAACTAGGAGACAGCAGCATATAAAGCAGAAAATAAATTCTTAAAAAACTTTGAGAGTACCCAGCTTTTCTCAACTCATCTTAAAATGAGGAATGAGTCAAATAAAATCTTCTATAACAAAATTACCAAATTCCAGCTTCTAGAAGCTCGTGGTATACATCCCATATGCAAACACTGGCTCTTAAGGCTCATGATGTAACTTAGACTATTAGCCTCAATGAGAAGCTCAAAAAACAGCAACTTGCCCATCTTCATTATTATGAATTACCTTAACATAACTACTTTAAGTGTAACTCTGCTATTAAGCACTTTTCATTTGAAAACATGCAAAAACCAACTAATCTAATACAGAAAGTCTGTATAAAAAATGCGTGAGCTAATGTCTAAAAATCTAGGTAGAAAAACAATAATAATTTAGAACCAAAAAGCTGTTGGGAGGTTTAGACCAAGGAAATTGTTATTAGTCAAGATGTTACTAAATAAATGTGTTTACCCCACGTGTCCTGAAAAGTCCACATAAATGGTCTTACATGACAGGCTTTACTCTCTCTATAAAACGTAGCATTGGTCTGCCCCTGCTCAGAGCCTTGGGCACCTGAAGGTGCACTGATCTGTGCAGTGGTGCCCGGAGCCAGCTGCACCTGCTGATGCTGCTCATCCCTGCACAGCTCTGTGCTCAGTCATATAATGCTGGAAGCCTGGCATCAGCCATGGTAGGAGTATTTACACCACAGAAATCAGGAAATGCTACAAATCAGGGCGATCTTATGTGGATGAAAGATGATTTTTATGTTTTATATATTATATCCCTGCATATATAAGTAATCATTTGCATATACAAAAGTTTCCATTATATCTATATTCTGGAAAGTTTGGAAGGACTGCTTAACTTTTTATTTCTCTCATAAAAAACATCTTTTCTTTTTTTGCCATGGTGACATCTGCTGTTTTTAACCACCCAGTGCCCCTTCCCTCCTGGGTAAGAGCCCCTCGGTTTATCTGGGTGCACCCCCCCCATGGAGCACACGTGTGTTACAAGCAGCCCAGTGCGATGTGGCTGTAAAGGGGAGGAAGAAGGCTTCAGCTCTAATTCCACCCTCCCAACTCCAGAAACTGGTTTACAGGCAGGCACATAACCCACCCTAGTCCAGTGTGAGTGAAGCCCAGGATGGGTGCCTCACAGGGTTTTAGCTTCCCTCCATAATCCAAACACTCAATATTAGATTATTTGGTGGGCTGGATTGCCCATTCTTTTAACAAACTTCTACTGCCTTCTGCTTGCTAGGCTGTTCTGAGAGTTCTGTCAGGAACGAGGAGACAAAGTGGTATGAACACAGGTCTTATTTCATTAGACAGTCACTTTTGGTATGGATTCATTTAATTGGGTAAGACCATGTTTATCTGTCAGTAGTACCGGACCACATTAGCAACAATCTGTAAACTCCACCATAAAGACCATTTTTTTGAAACAGCACCTTCCCACAAAAAGCAAATAGAAAAGACGTACCTCTGGGAGCAGCTGGCAGCTATCCTGCGTCCCCAAGGGAGGCAACCAGAAGAGAGACAATAGACAGATCCCTGGGGACACGCTGTGAGCCACTGGATCAGGTCCACTATTTAAGTTTTTTATTATGTGAGCCCCAAAAATTCCCATTATTTCTAAGCCAGTTTAATTGGGTTTTCTGATATTTCCAATGCCCCAGCAAGAGGAAAAAATACATAAAAAACAAAACTGACTAAGCCAGTTACCAACAATCTTACTGCAAACTAGTCTTTATGGCGGGGATTGTTTATAGATTGTTGCTAATGTGGTCTGGTCCCTACTGACAAATATGGTCTTACTGAATTAAATGAATAATGTCTAATGAAATAAGACCTATATTCATAATACTTTCTCTCCTCAATTCTGACAGAACTCACTTAAAACAGAGCCTCGCAAGCCAAAGGTAGTAGAAGTTTGTTAAAAGAATGGACCAACCTTGGCCGGGCGCAGTGGCTCACGCCTGTAATCCCAGCACTTTGGGAGGCCAAGGCAGGTGGATCACAAAGTCAAGAGATTGAGACCGTCCTGACCAAGATGGTGAAACCCCGTCTCTACTAAAAATACAAAAATTAGCCAGGCGTGGTGGTGCGCGCCTGTAGTCCCAGCTACTCAGGAGGCTGAGGCAGGAGAATCACTTGAACCTGGGAGGTGGAGGTTGCAGTGAGTCGAGATCGCGCCACTGCACTCCAGCCTGGGCAACAGAGTGAGACTCCTTCTCAAAAAAAAAAGAATAGACCAAGCAACCAATCAAATAATCTAATATTCAATGTTTGAGTTATGAAGTGGAGCTAAGCTTCAGTTAGCTTTACTAATATGTCATCAGTAATACTAGTAATACTGTCTGAAGATGCATCTCATGTCATAATATCTGGTACTTGGTTCATGTCACTGTATCTATTTTTTGGGGCATTTAATCCTATTGCTCTATTCCAAATACCCTCCTATAACATTGTCTCTAACTTGGAACACACTTTTACACAGGAAAAAAAAAAAAAGAAGAAAGAAATAATGACTAGATTCCATGGGTCACGAAAGTTCATTTAATCTGCCATGTACCCCTTATACCAGTGCTTTTCAGTCTTATCTGAGCAAATTACTACTCTTAACAATGTTTCGCAAGAGACATGTTTACAGTAAGGGATAGACGGGAAGATGGCCATGAACAGAACTTTTTATGCAGGCACCTCAGACTCCTATAATGAACGCTGCTATTGCTTTATTTCTCGGAATGGAAGTCATGGTCCATGTCTGATTTTTTTTTTTAAATGCATCCAGTAAATGCTTCCTGAATTCCTGTTATGTGCCAGGCATGATGCCAGGATGTACCAGAACAGGCCCTTGCCCTCAGTGTGCTTCCTCCAGTGAGTGAGAACAATGTGATGAGCACCACGCAGGTTAGAGGCCCGCCTGTGCACTATGGGAGCAGACAAAAAACCCCTAAGGGGACGCTGTGATTTGACCCACTGACCACTCCATCTTTTGCAGACACTTTCCTCCCTTGGTTTTCCTGACATCACATACCATTTTCCTCTGACTTCACTGGCTTCATCTACTACCTCCTTTGCTCTTATTCCTAATGTCACTATTTTCTAGGGCTCAATTCTGGACCCTCTTCTGAGGAACTTTATTCAGCAAGTCCTGTAATTTACTTTATTTATTTGAGACAGTCTTGCTCTGTCGCCCAGGCTGGAGTGCAGTGGCGCAATCTCAGCTCGTCACAACCTGAGCCTCCTGGGTTTAAGCAATTCTCCTGCCTCAGCCTCCTGAGTAGCCTGGACTATAGGCACGCTCCACCGTGCCTGGCTAATTCTTGTGTTTTTAGTAGAGACGGGGTTTCACCAAGTTGGCCAGGTTGGTGTCTAACTCCTGACCTCAGGTGATCCACCCACCTTCGGCCTCCCAACGTGCTGGGAATACAGGCATGAGCCACCGTACCGGGCCTGATACCACAGTTTATCTTTGTTACATTTATCAGAAAGTCACTTTATCTTATTCCCTGGCTCCCTTACTCTCTTTAGAATGTGGGCTCCATGATGCCAGAAACCACGTGTGGCTTTTTTCCTGCTAATTCCTAACACAAAGTGGCTGGCATATAGCAGACACTCAGGATTTTCCAAATAAATGAATAACCCTGCACTTGTAAATATGCTTAGCTTCCCTACCAGGTTTGCCAGCCTAACATTCCCACTACGTATCTCCTTTCAGCACCACTCAGACTGAAATGCATACCCAGTCAGGTTGTAAGGTACAAAACAGCAGAGCCTACCAGCCTGGAAACTGGGTGAAAAGGTCAGAACCAGTAAGCATGTCAGAACAAGGTTATGACCAATGGCTCCCTTGCAAGGCAACTTACAGGTCTCATGGTAGGCAAGATGAAAAAGCAGTATTACAACTAAAAGGAAAATGAGAAGTACAAACCATCCTGAACTCACAACACAAGTTCCATTAACTTGTTTATGGCAATCGCAACAAATTCTAAACAGAGGCTCAGTGATGCTTTGTACAGCACCTGGATAAGGTGATTCGCTAGGGAAAGACAAGGAGGAAGCCAAGTTTTACTAGCTTCAAAGCACACTTTAGCTGCTTTAGACTACTATTGGTAGGGGTATATGCAGTATCTTTACATGGCAGTGGGGAAGGTAAGGTACTTTGACAAGGATTCTAAGACTGACACACTGAAAACACACACTCCAAGCAGATGTACATTCCACAGTCTTCAAACTCACAGTTTCATGAACATTCTGAGAGCTAGTAACAAGATTAATAATGTAAGCATTTACTAGATAAATGTACTATGCCAGACACTATTCCAAGCATTTCCCAAGTACTGTCTCATTCTTATTATTAGCTCATTGATATTGTGTCATTAATATCCACTTTTAAATGAGAAATCTAAGAGAGGTGAAGTAACTTGCCCAAAGTCAGAAAGCTAATGTGCAGTGAAAACAGAAACTGGACACAGACAATCTGTTCTGGAGCTTTTACTAATAATCCGTACTCTATAATACACTCCTATTTATTCCTAAAATTTAAAGACAGCTTCAGTTCAATTTACTTAGCAGCTTTGGTCTGTTTATGCAATCAGTTACTGCACGTTTCAATCTGATCTTGATTATACTTGCACAGTGAACTTTCAAGTGAAATTAACATTGTGGTGGTCCTGATAAACTGGTCATACCTCTCCCTGAGAATTTTTCAGTATAACCTTCACATCTTCGCCAGTGCCCCATGAGTTCTGGTTCTTCCAGATGAGGTCAGTCGGGGGGCTGGCTGTGACACCAGCGTTTGCAGCCCAAATCTGTAAAAATCAAAGGATATCAGCACACCCAGAACCCAGCTCTCCCACATGCCAATGACAGCAATGCAATGAGACTCAAACACTTGATTCTAAAAGTCTGAGAACTATACCCCCGCTACAGAGTGCTATACATAGCTATGTGGCCAGAACTCACAGTTTCTCAAGGCCTCAGCTTCCCCATCTGATAAGTGAAGACGATGATACATAAGGCCCTGAAGTAAAACTGCCTACACTCACGTCCTAGTTCCTTTACACACCAGCTGACCCTGAGCAAGTTACCTTCCTTTAGTCATCCATAAAACAGGGCAGAAATGGCACCTGTAACAGGTGGAATTATTTAAAAGAGCAAGTGATAACCCACACTCAGTGGCTGGCTAACTCAGTGAATGGTAGCCTCAGCATTGTATTACTCTGCGGGTTTTATGGGCCATCCTTCCACGTTAGACAGCCTTCTGCGACTCCCTCTAATAATGTTCTCTGGCTGCCTACAGCAAGAAATAAAGAGACCTTCTGCAGCAGACAGCCTATCTAGAATAATCTTATGGAAACTGGTACATCTCCAAACAGAGACAGTGTCACAATACCCTAGAGTATCTGAGACTGCACTCCAAAAAGAATGCTGGAAATGGATAAATCACTCGCTGTTCAAGGGAAAATATAATTGCTGTTGAAATAGGCCAAAGAAATTATATTCTCCTTCTCGTGAGCATGAAACTTTTTATGTATCTACTGGCAAAAAAGAATGGATACAGTAAAGAACACCTGGCAGTCAGAAAGCCTAGGTTTGAATTATGGACAAATCACTACACCTCTAGGAAGCTCAATGCCTCCAGCTACAGGGATACTACCAGCCCTGATCTTTTAGAAAGATCATTTAAAAACAAACAGAAAAGTTTGTAATTCATACATTGTTATATAACATAAAAGACTTTATGACTGCAAAAGGAAAGCTGAAGATGGCAAAGACAAGTATATTTCAATGGGGGCCAGGTGTAGTGGCTCCAGCCTGTAATCCCAGCACTTTGGGAGGCCGAGGCAGGCAGATGACTAGAACAAAGGAGTTTAAAACCAGCCTGGGCAACATGGTGAAACCCTGTCTCTATCAAAAAAAAGAAAGGGTGGGGAGTGGGGGTGGTAACAGGAGAAAAATCTACGAATTACTGATTAGGAGACAGCCCTTACTTCTTAAGATGTTCACCTGAAGAATCCAGATCTTTCATCAGCATTACAAATAGACAGGGGCACAAGATATTAACTGGGATGAAACTGAAAAAAAGAACTGAATCTGGTCCAACATTTAGATGATGTGGAATGTTAGTGTTTTCCTACTTGTAAGCATTATTTCTCACTAGCCTATATGTAATCAAATAGTTGGTTTATGTTAATAATCATCATCATAAAATGTCAATATCCTTGCTAATTTAACCTAAAACTAATATGTCCTATAGCCATGTCATTTAATACGGCAGCAAAATGTGGCTTGTTAGCACTTAAAATGTGGCTAGCCTGGAATGAATGTGTTGTAAGGGTAAAACACACAGAAGATTTTGAAGACTTAGCTAAATTTAAAAAAAAAAAGAACGTGGGCCGGGCGCGGTGGCTCACGCCTGTAATCCCAGCACTTTGGGAGGCCGAGACGGGCGGATCACAAGGTCAGGAGATCGAGACGATCCTGGCTAACACGGTGAAACCCCGTCTCTACTAAAAGTACAAAAAAAAACTAGCCGGGCGAGGTGGCGGGCGCCTGTAGTCCCAGCTACTCGGGAGGCTGAGGTTGGAGAATGGCGTAAACCCAGGAGGCGGAGCTTGTAGTGAGCCGAGTTCGCGCCACTGCACCCCAGCCTGGGTGACAGAGCAAAGACTCCGTCTCAAAAAAAAAAAAAAAAAGAACGTAAAAATATCTGACTTTTTAGACTGATTACATGTTAAAGCAATATTTTGGATATATTGGGTTTAATAAAATATAGTTCTAAAATTCATGTCTTTATTATAATGTGGCTATAAGAAAATTTAAAATTACACATGTGGTTCTCATATTTCTATTCTAGAATTTTAAACTGATCTTTGCTTTTGCCTCTGCAATTTTACAGAAAGACCACTTAGCACTACCATGTTCCAAAGAGCTGCTTATCACATTTAATGCCAGTTGCTGAAGAAAAAAAGTATCACATTATTTTATATGATAATTGAGTTCTCCACTAGACCTCTAGAATCCATGTATTTAGTCCCTGAGGTAGTATACCCAGTAGAAAAAGTAGATGATTGGCATAAGGCTTCCATATTATTACTTTTGAGATAGAGAGCACACTCAATTCTGAATCCTCTGAACTAAAATGTCAGATTCTTTTTACCACAGTATACAACTTCTGTAAGATATATAATAGGACTGAGCAATTTTCTCTCACTATAGTGATTACTAAAGAGATGAAAGGATATTGTAGTTAGGACAGTTGATCCTATTTTTACCCATTATTAACAAATTAGCATCTGATATTTTCACAAAGTGGCATCATGCTCTCCGAACATACCTTTTGAAAGAGAAGTCTGAGCCTTTGATCGTCAATAGTAAGGTATGTATCAACATAAAATTTTAAACACATTTAAAACACATGTTTAATATTTTTTAAAGAAGAATATATAAAAAGAGACAGTCACCTCTACATTCTTTTAGGACGAAAAGAGTGACTTCTTTGAAATCTATATCAAAGTTAACATATTTTATCATTAGCTAAATCTATCTACTAAGTAAAAGCAAAAGAATCTTTTGTTTACTCAATGAAACATACTTCTCTAAAAAGTAAGCTAATTAACATTTCAGTAACTATTAAAGATGCAGTATTTCAGAACACACCAATTAGAAATCAAGACTCAGAATGCCACTTAGTGATAATTTACAAGGGTGCCTATAATCTAAGGACTTTTATTCAAAACCTACGTTCCTACCCCAACCCCAAAGATAGCTAAGGGTGAAGTAGGGCCTGAACACCAAAATACTACCCAGATGATTTTGAAGCTCACCCAAGGCTGGAGATTGCTGTTATAGACATACGTTAATGCTAGATTCTTAACAGTTCTTTATGCCAAGCAGTGTCTCCTGAATGACACTGGGCTACAACTATCAGTCAAGAGATAGCTTTTATATCTCCTGGAACAGACAAGATAAAAATAATTGAAAGGTCAATTCTTCACTACTCTCAGTAAGACAGAATTTTAAAAATATTTTATAGCACTTGTAATGACCTAATAATATAAAAAGTGCTTTAATGGCCATTTCTAAAATGTTTCTCTTTTAGCCAAAAAACTTTTTGAGTTACTTTGTTAACACAATGAAGTTAAATTAAATGATAACTAGATTCACTTACTGTAACAGTCTGGCCTGCCTTCAGCACATATCTTGAGGTATATTTGTAACTGACTGATGTGTCTCCAATTTTTCTGATCATTTCCCAGCCTCCCATTGGTTGATCCTACACACAGAAAGGAGGGAGGGAGGGTGTTACTTCAGAGATACAGAAAGTTGTGGAATAATCAAATAAATTAATCTATACAGGCAGTTAAACTAAGACCGCTTTACAGTCACCTTCCCACGTTTCAGGTTTTCCTACTATAAAAAGAAAACATGATTTTGTCATTTTGTCAAACAGTAACTTCAACAACGAGTTAATTAGTAAGGTACTTAACTTTAAAGAGGACAGAACTGGAAAAAAAGGGTATGAACCAAATTGTCAAATTCACTGCTAGATAAGGTGGGTCTTTCAAATTTACAATACTATCTAGCTGTCATAATCACAATTTTAAACATCGAGCATTGGATTACTTCAAGCTTTTAAAATAGACACATAAGCTTAGAAACAGAAGAAAATCTGTCATTTTCCTTCTGCATCTGTCCCACTTCTGCCCACATTCAACTCTCATACATGAAAGCATAAGGGGCTCAAAAAAAGGGTCAATGGGCCTGGGCGTGGTGGTTCATGCCTGTAATCCCAGCACTTCAGGAGGCTGAAGCGGGTGGATCACCTGAGGTCAGGAGTTGGAGGCCAGCCTGGCCAACATGGTGAAACCCTGTGTAAAAATACAAAAATTAGCAGGCGTGCTTGCATGCACCCGTAATCCCAGCTACTGAGGAGGCTGAGGCAGGAGAATCACTTGAACCCGAGAGATGGAGAAGCCAAGATCATGCCACTGCACTCCGATCTGGGCAACAGAGCGAGACTCAAAAAAACAAACAAACAAAAGGCTACAAAGAGACCTTAGAGCTTATTCTCTTTAGCATCAAAACTGTTAGTGCTTGTTAGTGCTACTTCACTCATCCAAATTATGTATTCATCCACATGAAAGATAGTTTTAGTAACTGTGATGAGAAAAGATTAATTTTTTCAGGAACATATGTTTCAAGAAGTGACATCCATCCCACTGCCGCCTGCAAGCTCCCAGACCATGCCTTCCTCTAATATCATCTCATAATCCATCGTGGCCTCCAGTTCCTTGATGCGGAGCTAAGGAAGGCCTACACTACTGAGCTCCCGAAAGCCCCAGCCCTAAATTTCAGAAATCTCTGCTATGAATACTTCATGTTTACTTTTAAACATTTCGGAATAAGGCTTCCCGCTATTTTTCATATTAAGTATTAGCATTTGTTCATTTATTTATTTGCAGGGAAAAATACTCCCTTAATATCTGAGTCCAGGCTCTTATCTCCTTCTTTCAGTAAGCTTTTTATTAAGTTAATAACTGAAAGAATATCCACCATTTTCATCCAGTTGCTCCAACTTCTTCACAAATCTGGCTAGGGCAGAGAATAATAATAATTCATCCTCAGAACCACTGTGATAAAAGGAACATGCTTTTCAAAAAAGCCCTGACCCTCTAAAGAAGGGTTAATGAAGCAAATCTTTAAACTACTAGGGTACCCACCTCTTCCTCCTATTTCAATTTTTATTTTATTTTATGAATTTAAGTAAAAAAGACATAAACACTTATTCCATGAAGACTTAAATGAATCCAAACAAAAACTAAGGGGCTATCACAATTGCAAGAGAACCTAGCAATCTGCAAAGCCTTGCTAGAAAAAAAAAAGGGTCTATTTTATTACCTGTTCAGAAGTGTTCTTCAAGCGGATAAATTTTCCATCAACATCAATTTCTTCAATGCAAACATTCCCAGTGGCTGAGGCGGAATGAGAGATGCTAACACTACTACTCGCCTCTGATTCTTCCACATCAACCCTCTTCCGCTTTCCTCTAGTTGTACGTACACTGCGACTTGAGGATGCTCGGGATACTGTCACACGGGAAGAAGGGCTTGGAGACAGCTTCAACCTATATGGGAAAAATAAAACAATTCATTTTTAAAACACATATGCCCTTCTTGCCTTAAAAAAAAAAAAAAACAAGGGCTGGGCACAGAAGTTCATGCCTGTAATTCCACAACACTTTGAGAGGCCAAGGCAGGTGGATTGCTTGAGGTCAGGAGTTCAAAATCAGCCTGACCAACATGGTGAAACCCCATCTCTACTAAAAATACAAAAATTAGTCAGGCTTGATGGCGGGCACCTGTAATACTAGCTACTCGGGAGGCTGAGGCAGGAGAATGGCTTGAACCCCAGAGGCGGAGGTTGCAATGAGCTGAGATCACACCACTGCACTCCAGCCTGGGTGACAGAGTGAAAACTTGTCTCAAAATAATAATAATAATAATAATAATAATAATAATAATAATATCCCATCCATGCATTTCTAAAGTAAAATATTACTTACAATCTGTTAGCCAAAGCCAAAGTTTACCTTAACTAATGTAAGCTTCTTCATAAGGTGCCCATCATCAATTTTCCTTTTAAAAAAATAGCAATCTGAATGTTTTCTCTAGGGACAGAAGTAATATAGTAATATAACCATAATGCAAGAAGTCTGGTAAATGGGTAGAAAGTCATCTGATCTACTGCCACCCACCACAGCCAGTTATAGTTGGTGTACGTTTTTCTCTTTTCATACCTGTATTTTCTTATTATCACAATGGATATATATTAAAATTATCTGGCTTTTTATCCTAAATCAGCCACTTTCCTTTTGGAACTTTTTTTTTTCTTTTTTTGAGACAGAGTTTTCACTCTTGTCACCCAAGCTGGAGTGCAATGGCACAATCTTGGCTCACTGCAACCTCCACCTCCCGGGTTCAAGCAATTCTGTCTCAGCCTCCCAAGTAGCTGGAATTACAGGAGCCCACCACCATGCCCAGCTAATTTTTGTATTTTTAGAATAGACGGAGTTTCACCATGTTGACCAGGCTGGTCTTGAACTCCTGACCTCAGGTGATCCACCTGCCTTGGCCTTCCAAAGTGCTGGCAGGAGCCACCACACCTGGCCCTTTTGGAACTCTTTTCTGAGAACAGGCGTCAAAAAGATTTATACATTGACCAGATTTAAAATATATATAAAGCCAGCCGGGCGAGGTGGCTCATGCCTGTAATCCTAGCACTCTGGGAGGCTGAGGCGGGTGGATCACGAAGTCAGGGGTTTGAGACCAGCCTGGCCAACATGGTGAAACCTCGTCTCTACTAAAAACAAAATTAGCCAGGTGTGGTGACACACGTCTGTAATCCCAGTTACTTAGGAGGCTGAGGTAGGAAAATCACTTGAATCCAGGAGGTGGAGGTTGCAGTGAGGCGAGATCACACCACTGCACTCTAGCCTGGGCGACAGGGTAAGACCCTGTCTCAAAAATAAATAAATAAATACATAAATAAATAAATAAAATGTAAAGTCTCTTTCAGCCAATTTGGTATTTTATAATACAATAAATCACCAAAACACTTAAAATCTCAAAGGAAATCCATCCTGACGCAGTTCAGCATTTAAAGTAATAACAATAAACTAAGAGTACTTGAGCAACATTTTCTGTGTTGCAGTAGAAGTATGATCTATTACCACCTCTATACTTAGGTGTTAAAAGAAAGGACCAAGAAAATAAAGTTCTTTTAAAAATGCTATTTATTTTTATTTAAATAAAAAGGGTGAGGGGCAAAAAGTGGACCATAAGGTAGGGTGACCCTTAAGTTCCTTACCTCTCTTCTTCGCCTTCTAAGAGTTTCCTGTAAGCACTGATTTCCATGTCCAGGGCTAACTTTACATCAAGAAGCTGCTCATAGTCATTCAGCTGTTGCTGCATTTGATCCCTTATTTCCGCCATCTCTCTCTCTTTGTCTGTCAGCATGCGACGAGAGTTGTCTTTTTCTTTAGCAAGCATGTCCTCTAATTCTTGAATCCTTTCCAAACATGCTCTAGACTTAAGATACAAGGAAACATACTTTCTAGGAACATTCCAACATTAGCACCAGGCAGCTATTTTAAACCATTTCCTAGACTGGAAAACAAGTACGACCCTATGGAATCTGTAACTCACTAGAATTCAAGAGATTTTAAGAAATTAAAACCCAAAATTCCTCAAATACAAAACACAGACCTCAGGAGAGTTTTGGCTGATAAAAGAATAAAAGACTATTACATAAATGTAAGTTCTGTAAATACACATATAATTTTTCTGTACTTAGCCCAAAAAATTTTAAGCTGTGGTTTTGGTAAAAGTCAAGTCTGGCTCCCTTATAAAGCCTTTACTTCCTAAAGTAAAAATTAAATAAAGAACTTAAAAAGATATAAACACTGACTGACAAAATAAACCTAAGAGTGGGTAAAAGTATGTTTTAGCAGACTGCTGAGGAATATTCAGAAACCAGGGCAAAGGGACTCCGGTTGCTATGTGGAAGGCACTACCTACTGTCCCGTTAGGATTGCTGGGCTATCTCATGTTCAGTTAGCACACAAAGGACTTACAATATAGGGTGATTTGTAAAGTATTACTGTGAATATAGAAGTTGTATATTTGGCATAAAAAAATTAAAAATCACACATCCTACACCAGAAAATTCATCTTAGAAATCTTGTGGCTCGCTGGTAATTACTCTTCTGTGTTTCTCCATGACAGAATTCATCCCAGTAGCCTCAGAAAGTGACAACTCAAAAGGACTGATGGATAGCGTAGGCCCTCAGAATCACAAGTACCTGCAACAGAGCAGGAGAGAAAGGGCATCTAATGCGCAAAAACTAAATCTAGAAGGTTAGAGATAAAAAGGAACTACCCAATACATAAAAACTACACTCTTGCTGGTAAATTTACTTTTCACAGTAGTACGGGTTCAAAATTTTGAAACTGCTTTAACATATACTGGGGCTGAACAATTAAGTAAACGGATGATAAAAACCAGGTTTCTCACTCTCAGAGAGTAAAGATACAGGTACGTCAGAAAGGAAGCCAAAAATGAATCCTGTGGTACTAGATGCAAGTCAGAGACATCTGTATGAATTCGTGTTTATCTTAATACAAATGATTAGACAGAAAAAGTTATAAATATGTGCATACACATGGGTTAGCGTACATAAAATGTTACCCACTTTTATCAGTGAGAGGGCCAAGAAGCAGTAAGCACACTCAGTGCCCAGATCTTAATTTCTATATACCATTCTCCAATAACAAGAAACAGGGCTCCTTGGAGAATGGATAATTCTAGGACTGGAGCAGGGAAAATGCAAGACAAGCCTAGAGCATGTTATAGTACCAGAAAGCAACAAAGTGCTCCCTCCAGAATGTGGCGCTTAAGTCCTGCCCTTCACCCTTGAGGGTAGGCTGGACTTAGTGACCTATTTCCCATGAACAGTGTATGGAAATGGAAAAATAGTAGCGCTGTTGACAATGGAGAAACCTGACAAACACTATCTTAAACCAAACACCACCAGTGATGTCATGTGGTTATCACATATGTGCAATCCCTGATACAATGTGACAAAACGGGCACTTAAAACCCAAAACCCCAGTCCAATCACGTGAAAAGCACCAGACAAATCCAAATTGGGGGAAGAGTCTACAGGCTACCTGGACAATCCTATTCAAGACTCAAGCTCATAAAAAACAAGGAAAGCACAAGAAACTGTCACAGACCCGAGGAGGCATGTGGAACCTGGAACAGAAAGAGGATAACAGAAAAACTGGTGAAATCCAAATAGTCTGGAGTCGAGTTCACAGTAATATACCAGTGTCAGTTTCTTAGTTTTGATAAATATGCTACGGTAACATAAGATGCTAACAACAGGGGAAAATGGGTGCGAGAAAAACAATAACTGCCTATAGTACTTTGCCAACTTTTCTGTAAATCTAAAATTATGCCAAAATAACAAGGTTATTTTAAAAATAATCAAGAGTCACTCTAAACCTATTTGGGGGCAGAGGGGTGCCCTGGTTCACATGCACACACAAAAGTATATTTTTAAAGAAAAAAAATGGACCAATCAATTAATTAAATTCCAGAGTAGTAGTATATAACTTGACATTCTATTTAGACAGGCACTCCTCTTAAGATGGATATTACAAAGGTAGTCCCTGAACCTCAGAGAACTTGCATTTAACTGCATTTGCAAAAATCATGCTATAAATGGAGAAATCCATTTCCCCGCTACCATGTTCCTTGTATTTTCTTTTTCTCCAAAAGAAAATTTTAAAAGTCATGTAAGTTCAAAATGCCTCCCTTCAATCTCTTTGCTTTATTTCATATATCAGAAGTAGAAGACAGAATGGGCAAAAAGGAAGAATCTAAAGGAGAGTTGATGAGAGATATAAACTACCCAAGATTCACAGGTAACCTGAGCTGAGATTTACAAACCCAAGGATGTCTCTGTTTGACTGCCTTTGATGTTGTAGAGCTCTTTAAGACGGAAAAATCAAAATCTAGGTATACGAGTTTTAAAGTTATTCTGAATCATTCTGTATTTTAAATAGAAATATTTAAATTCTATTTTCAGTAGCTGCACTTACGCTTGTAGAGTAAGATATAAGGAACACAGTATGAGAAGTTAGACCTAGATTCTCCTTTCGAATTCTGCCATTAACTACCTATGAGCAAGCTGTAACTAACCTCATTAAACCAGTTTCCACATAAGGAAAATGAAGAGATCTAACTAACTAGATTATCTCTCAGATCTTGCCACTAACCCTGAATTTTATGACTTCTGATGATCTTGGGGTTAACTTTTTTTGTAGTATGTAATATCATTGTACTGGTTTACTAAGGTCTAGCTGCAACCAAAGTCTCCAGAATCTGGGTGTTAGAAAAACAAAAGTTAGAGGTGTTTTTAAGTACCATGCTGTACTTTTCTCTAAGGCAAGCAGACTCTAAACAACCAATTCATTTGGCCCCAAGTCAAAAATATAGAAATGCAATAAACAATGTAAAATTTTTAATTCCAAAACCTAACACTGGTACCATCTATATATTATTTAAATATATCTTGTAAAACCAGTATTTTAAAAGCCATGTCAATTTTAAGTAAAATTTAAGAAGTACTTTACTAACCTGAGTTATTTAACCAAAAGGAAATTCTTTTGGCCTAATAGGCAGCATGATGAAACTGATATGACCCAGCAACAAACATGATTAAACAACAGGAAAATATTCAAAAAGATGACATTTTTCTTTTTGATTATTTTTCTAAGGCTAAAATTTACCAACTAATAAAAATATTCCTCAAAATATACTGTTTACCATAAAGTCTGTTACCAATAATGAACAGAGGAAAAGATTCACCCCCAGAAAGAGAAATTAAAAACTATTTTGGCTGAACTATCTGCTAAGGAGTTAGCTCCTGGAAACCCCCAGTGCACTGCCTAACATTACTTAAAAACCACTAAGCTAAGGTTTAAAAAAAACGTGCAGCCAGCACAGCGGCTTACGCCTGTAATCCCAGCATTTAAGGCAGTAGCTCACACCTGTAATCCCTTCCATTTTGGGAGGCCAAGGTGGGCAGATTACCTGAGGTCAGGAGTTGGAAACCAGCCTGGCTAACATGGTGCACCCCGTTTCTACTAAAAATACAAAGAATTAGCTAGGCGTGGTGGCGTGCGCCTGTAATCCCAGCTACTCAGGAGGCCGAGGCAGGAGAATCACGAATCACTTGAACCTGGGAAGCGGAAGTTGCAGAGAGCTGAGATCATGCCATAGAACTCCAGCTTGGGCAACAAGAGCAAAATTCTGTCTCAAAAAAAAAAAAACACTTGCAAAATGGGAATTCAATTAACAGGCAAACAGGGAAACAGCCTTGAACCTGGGTCAGAACACACAGCTACCAAGTTTCAGAGCCCACTACTACTTATTAATAACACTAGACTACTCTCAGTCTCCTCATCCAAAGTACAGTGAAGATCAACCTCAAGACAAGATCTGTACTAAGTAAATCAAATGGATTAAGCAGCAGCCAAAAAAAATATATAGTAGGAAAAAATAAAATCGAGGGAGAGACAGTAACCAGTAGACAACTTACTATTAGTAAATGGTAAAGAGTAGTAAATGCCAACTCAGTATAAGAACAGAGAGGCCCATTTTTGGAAAAGTACCTGTGAAGACAGTGATATAGGCCGGGTGCAGTGGCTCACACCTGTAATCCCAACACTTTGGGAGGCCGAGGCGGGAGGATCACCTGAGGTCAGGAGTTCGAGACTGCCCTGACCAACATGGAGAAATCCCATCTCTGCTAAAAATACAAAATTAGCAGGGTGTGCTGGTGCATGCCGGTAATCCTAGCTACTAGGGAGGCTAAGGCAGGGGAATTGCTTGAACCCAGGAGGTGAAGGTAGCAATGAGCTGAGATTGCGCCATTACACTCCAGCCTGGGCAACAAAAGTGAAATTCCGTCTCAAAAAAAAAAAAAAAAATACAGTGATACAGTCTGTGTGTTTGTGTTCCCATATATTTCATGTTTAAATCCTAACCCTCGAGGTGATGACATTAAGAGGTGGGGCCTTTGAGTGGTGATTAGATCATGAGAGGAAAGCCCTAGTGACTGGGATTGGGTGCTTCTTCAACCATGTGAGGCCAGAGCAAGAAGGCACCATCTATAAATCAGGGAACAGCCCTCACCAGGCAGATACTCAATCTGCCAGTGCCTTGATCTTGGACTTCCAGCCTCCAAAACTGTGAAAAATAATTTCTGACATTTCTGTTGTTTATAAGCTACCAAGAGTAGTTTGTTATAGCAGCCCAAAAGGACTGAGACAGATGGTGCAATGGAAAAAAAGATTATCTGTTAAATTTCTAAAAGTAAATCTTCTTCAAAGAGAATGAGGTATAAAAGGAAAAACTGGGAACCAGCAGAGAAACCCATCTATCAGTCTGCAGCCTCTGGGCAAGTCATTAAACTCACCTAGATCTGTGGTTATATGGAATGAACTCAGAGGTGCTCCCAGCTCTGCTATTATATGAAAATTTTCAAAACACTATCAGCACAAAATAGGTTTAAAATAATTTAAAAATGTGTGCTGTAAGTAACAAAGCACATGATAGGCAATGTAAAAGCCCCTATGTTAACTAAATTATTTTCTATCACCCCATTTTATATGACTCATTTTCGGATTTCTTTTTTTTTTGAGACGGAGTCTTGCTGTGTCGCCCAGGCTGCAGTGCAGTGGCGCAATCTCATCTCACTGCAAGCTCCGCCTCCCAGGTTCATGCTATTCTCCTGCCTCAGCCTCCCGAGTAGCTAGGACTACAGGCGCCCGCCACCACGCCCAGCTAATTGTTTGTATTTTTAGTAGAGTCAGGGTTTCACCGTGTTAGCCAGGATGGTCTTGATCTCCTGACCTCATGATCTGCCTGCCTCAGCCTCCCAAAGTGCTGGGATCACAGGTGTGAGCCACTGCGCTCAGCCATTTTCTGCTTTATTTCTAAGTTCCTGCAATAGATGTCATCAGTTTTATAATTAGAAAAATATTTTACTAAAAATGGTAAAAAGAAAAAGGAAGGAAGAAAAGCCTAATCAAGAGTAAAATAAAGTTGATTCTCATGTGGAAAATTCAAAACAAGATTTTCTCCCTTGATGAAAACAGAAGCTGAAGTTATTTCCAAAACAATTAAGGTGACGAGTTAATTGCTGAATCATTCTGAATGCAGTATATGGAGTATATGTACTTTGTGTCCACACTGACATCACCCTAGGCTAAAATTGATCTGAAGTAGTGTCCATGCCTGCTTAAGCAGCACCTGAAGCACACCATCACACCCTGGTAGGCAGCCAGTCAACACAGTCAGCAATAATCCCATTTGTCACTTAGGCATACCAACGAATGAATGAGTTACTAAATTCTTATTGGAATATGCAAATTAAAGCTACTTTCCTGGATCCTAATTATTATATACTTTAAGCACTACAGAATTTGTCTAGAAACACAAAGAATTTTTACATGTTTTTCTTCATTTTGGTTTTCAAATGACATAAAAAAGGAATGTGTTGAGAATAACTCTGTAGAGATGAAGCTATTAGACAGGTCAGAAGATCCGGGTCCTAGGGTAAGTCCAGTGAATAAACTAACAGGCTCCTTCCTCAAGGGCAAGTCCCTTAGCTCTGTGTAATCTACTAATTAGGAGCAACAGTATCTACTCAAAGGATGTTTATGCAATGCAAAATGAACACATCTAGAAAAGTACTGTGAAGACCAAAGCGCAGGATGGCACTATCCTCTGTGACAAACAGAGGGAGGAGTGACATCAGCCCTAACAAAGCAGGTAGGTGCCCATGGTGAAGGTAGCCTTCAAGTCTAACTTCTTACATCAAGATGCTTATTTACCTCTTTCTGTAGATTAGAAAGCTGGGATGAAAGACTCTCAATTCTCATGCGGCTTTCCATCAGCTCTTCCCTGGCACTGTTGACAGTAGAAGTATTCATCTCTGATGACAGTCTGGCATTCTCAAGCTAAAAGAAGAAGCAAAGCATAGTCAGTCTTATCTAGAACTGAAACAAATAAGGAAGCATGATTCACCTCAAGGCATTTCAAAGCTAACTCCTGCTGGTAACTGGTTGATGAAACACAGGAAAAGCATCATGCAGTTTGCTAACATGGTGTGAATGATGGTAATTCTGTGTGACTTCTAGAGTCACTTCCTAAATAACGAGCTTTAAGAATGCTAATATACCTAGGCCTTTACCCAAAGCTTATTACTTCAATATTTCATCTGTTAAACCTTTAATGTCTAAGATAACACTGATAATAAGGAGACTGGGTAGTAGCAACTCGACTGTGGTGATGTTTGTAAAGAAAAGAAACATCACATATCCCTAACCCACCAAATCCAATACAGTATATAAACCAACAAGCAGAAAATACTAGTTTATAGATTCATTCAAACCAGATAGAAATGCTTCCTTTCAGAAGCAAAAAAAATAGCTCCTTGAGTAAAATACAAATCCCATAACACTATTGTGTATGTGCGTCTCCTCCCTGGCTCCCTGTGAGGCCACAGTCTGTGACTGATCCTTACTTTAGCTCCTTCACTGTTTAGCTCAATGTGTGATACTGGATAAATGTTATATAACTGAAGTTACTGCTTATAATAAGATCTTTCACTTTCACTAATTACTACTTCATACAACAGATAAAAAGCAACATGAACAGTTTAAGGCCATGCAATGAAAATTTTCAATAACTCTGTGACTCTACTATTCTAAGTCAGCCACGAAAAAGTCTTTTTAATCAAATCATATAAAATTTAAAACAAGAGGCAAAATCATTTACCAGGGAAAGCCTGTACTTGTTGGTGATTTTTATGAATTCTTTCATGGTTAGCTAATGTAAGTGGGAAGTTTCTACAATATTTTTTTAAGTGAATAATAGTGACAGAGGAAGAAATAGCAGAGACTTTTCCATTTGGCCCTTATGTAAAAAGGCCCAAAGTGTGGTAGTCTCAATCTACGCACAACGATGATATGAAAATAAGATCTAATGCAGTCTGACATTCATTCACTACTACATGGATGTGTACGTAGGACAGCATGATCAGTACTTGTTATTAGAGGGAAGTTATTTCACATGGCTTGGGACAAAAAGACAAAACCTTACCTCTAATAAAATTGGAACAACTCTACATTCTTCTAGTAATTTTTAGTAACATTTGGTTTATAGAAACTGTACTTTTTAGAAGAAGCCAATTTTCTATATATTTCATGGAGACTAGGGGAATCATTTTTAAAAACTAGAAAAAAATAAACATCAAGCAATGTTCGTCATGGGAATTGTGAAGTAATGATTTTAAGTGTTCAAAAGAATCTTCTGAAGAGTGCTCACTTTGGCATGGTAAGTCTGCTCCAGCTCTTCCTTATACAGCCTCACTTGGGCATCATGTTGCTCTCTCATCTCATGAAGGGCCTGAGCCAGCTTGTACTCATACTCAATTTGACGCCCAGAATCCACCTCTACCAAGCGCGTTTCATGCTTCCTTCTGGTCTCATTAATCTCCTGAGGAAAAAAGAAACAAAAAACATAAAGCCAAGTTACTTACCATGGCTGCACTGGTACACATCTGAGTGACATCACAGCCATCTGAAGTTTTACACATGAACCTCCTCCTGTTTGTCCTCAGGCAGTCATCTGAATAAACACTTTTTTGCCTCTTAGTTTTCAGTTGAGAAGATTTTTGAAATGGAACTAATGACAGAAGTGGTAGCATCTCAAGTCTTAGGAACTTTCTATTCCTTTTGAGGAGCAGAGCTATTTATTTTTCTGAAGCCAAGGAAAGGCCTGGGTGGCCTACTGAAACTACCATGCAATCAAGGATTTATAGACAGTAAACAATACTAAACACTAAGCAAAAATTATTTTTCTAAATTGTTTCACCGATAATCTTAAGAACATCTCTGAAAAAACGGCACATGGAAAGTTAAACTTAACAGTCATGATAAATTCAAATAAAGATTTATGTGTAATGAAACTATTTTCTTTTTTCTTTTCTTTTTTGAGATGGAGTATCATTCTGTCACCCAGCGGTGTGATCTCAGCTCACTACAACCTCCGCCTCCCGGGTTCAAGCAATTCTCCTGCCTCAGCCTCCCTAGTAACTGGCATTACAGGTGTGTACCACCATGCCCGGCTAATTTTTGTATTTTTAGTAGAGATGAGATTTCCCCATGTTGGCCAGACTGGTCTCAAACTCCTGACCTCAGGTGATCCATCTGTCTCAGCCCCTCAAAGTGCTGGGATTACACGTGTGAGCCACCGTGCCCAGCCATAAAACTATTTTCTTAGACATAATAATAGGCAGGACAAGCTAATTTACATGATTTCTTTAAAAGCTGGTATTAAGCTATCATTATCAAGCGACACAGGATCTTATTAACAATATTAGTTGACTAACTATATATGAAAAATTTACCGTTAAAGAATAGAAGTAGTTGTCATGATCCTTTACTCTGTTTTAAGGAAGTGTCTAAATAAAATCAGAATGGAAGGCTGAGTGTGGTGGCTCACGCCTGTAATCCTAGCACTTTGGGAGGCCGAGGCAGTCAGATCACCTGAGGTCAGGAGTTCAAGACCAGCCTGGCCAATATGGTAAAACCCCGTCTCTACAATAATACAAAAACTAGCCAGGCATGATGGAGAGTGCCTGTAATCCCAGCTACTAGGGAGGCTGAGATGGGAGAATCACTTGAATCCAGGAGACAGTGGTTGCAGTAAGCCAAGATCGCATCATTGCACTCCAGCCTGGGGAGCTGAGCTAGACTCTGTCTCCAAAAAAAAAAAAAAAAAAAAAAAAGAATGGCATTATCTGAAGAAGCCATAAGAAGGAAGTATAACCCACAAAAGTTGCTGTTTGTGTATGTTAGTGCAGGTATTTTCCTGTGCATTTCTTCGTCTTTCTCTTAACTACTACACAGAAGCATGCACTTGACAAAATCAGAAAAATCAGGAAGGTTCTACTGTCACCCTCCCAGAGATCACATCTATTTCATGAAGCAAATAATACCTAAATCATGAAAACACTGAAGAGAGCAACTGCTAATAGTTGCTCTTTGTCTACCTCCTCCTTCCTCTTTGTCTTTCTCCTTCCTTTTTCCCCCAACTGTTCATAATAAGGAAGTTAGATATTATTACTGAATATATATCAGGAAGGAAAAAAAAAAAGTTAAGGCCAGCGTAGTGGCTCACACCTGTAATCCCAGCATTTGGGGAGGCTGAGGCAAGTGGATCACCTGAGGCCAGGAGTTTGAGACCAGCCTGGCCAACATGGTGCAACTTACTAAAAAACAAGGGGAAAAAAAAGTTAGCCAGTTGTGAGGGTGTGCACCTGTAATCCCAGCTACTCATGAGGCTGAGGCACAAGAATCACTTGAATCCGGGAGGCACAGGTTGCAGGGAGCCAAGATCGTACCACTGCACTCCAGCCTGGGCAACAGAGTGAGACTCTGTCTCAAAAAAATTATTTTACATTTTTTGTTTAAAGTAAAAAAGGCCAGGCGTGGTGGCTCCCACCTATATTCCCAGCACTTTGGGAGGCCGAGGCAGGCAGATCACTTGAGTTCAGCTGTTCGAGACCAACCTGGTCAACGTGGTGAAACCCTGTCTCTACTAAAAATACAAAACTTAGCCGGTCATGGTGGTGCGTGCCTGTAGACCCAGCTACTCCAGAGACTGAGGCAGGAGAATCGCTAGAACCCAGGAGGTGGAGGTTGCTGTGAGCCAAGATCACACCACTGCACTCCAGCCTGGGCAAGAGAGCAGGACTCTGTCTCCAAAAGCAGTAAAAAAAAAAAAAAAAAATTTAAGAGGTCTTAGCATCCATTCTCAAAAAGGCAAAAGCCAAACATTCAAAGATGCTATGCAAACACTCTAAAAATATTAAATTACTTTTTACTGATGCTATTTTTTATATAGAACCAGCGACCTTACAAAGAAAAAAAAATACCCTACTTCTGGTTGTCTACACACAACACAAATAATGGTAAATCACAATTTTTACAAAACAAAAATGCAAGTCAATCTGAACTCAATATAAAAATATCTGCTTTCACAAAGAAACACTAGTAACAATTACATGACAGCACTTGCTACAGTATCCAAAGAGTTTTCACACACAGTATTCCACTTTGATCCTCACCACTCCTTGAAGAAAAAAATAGCAGTATGAGTATTTCATTTTAAATAAGAAACTGATGCTAAGAGTTGTCCAAGGTCTGACTGCTTGTCTGGTGCACCTTGCACTAATACCTATTTTGTTTAAAGCTTGTCATTTTAAAAAATAATCAGATTTCTATTATTTTTGCTCCAAATAAAAAAATGGTTTGCTAACTGCTACAATGAATTCCTATTTTATTATTAGTGACTGTTTTCAAAATTATACTACTTCTAAAAACATTAAGCCTAGCAGATTAACAGCATGTTTTCCCCCATGAGTTGATTCCAACCCTCTCCAATTTTCATGAAATATACATTCCCCTTTCTTCAATTTTATTACTTCCTTTGTTTGACAACAGTTCTGCCCCTGTCCCTTGACCACAGCAGTTAAGGCTTGTAAGTGATATTTTAAGATTTCCACATGAGTGGGCCAGGCACGGTGGCTCAAGTCTGTAATCCCAGAACTGTGGGAGGCCGAGATGGGCCGATCACAAGGTCAGGAGATCGACACCATCCTGGCTAACACGTTGAAACCTAGTCTCTATTAAAAATACAAAAAATTAGCAGGGAGTGGTGGCATGCGCCTGTAGTCCCAGTTACTGGGGGTCTAAGGCAGGAGAATGGCTTGAACCTGGGAGGCAGAGGCTGCAGTGAGCCGAGATCACGCCACTGCACTCCAGCCTGGGCGACAGAGCGGGACTCCGTCTCAAAAAAAAAAAAAAAAAAATTTTTTTACACACCTATAAATGCTGTGAGTAGCCGCATTTCCAGATGTAAGCCATAGGAGAAGGCAAAAGTGATGGTATATAACCTCTGTGATTAGCTTATAGAAGATAATGTGGCTTCTGCCTTGGTAGCTGGTAGCATATATTGATTTTCTCGTGTTTCTCTCTCTCTCTCGCTCGCTCCATCTCTCCCTCCCTCCCTCCCTCCCTCTCTCTTTCTTATCACTGACCCTTAGGGGGGCCATATCATGAGCAACCCTATGGAGAAGACCATGAGGTGAGGAACTAACACTTCCTGCCCACAGCCCTGTGAATGAGCTCAGATGCCATTCCTCCAGGCCAGGTTAAAAGCTGTACTGCAACTTCATGGGACCCAGAAACAGAACCACCCAGTTTAGCAGCTCTGATTTCTGACCTTCAGGAACTGAGAAATTAATACAAGTCTCTGGTTTTAGGTTGATGAACTTTGGAAGTAATTTGTTAGGCAGGAATAGATAACTAATGCTTAAACATGTTGACAGTAATTAGCTGCTGTGACCAAGCCTTTATAAGTTAAGATGAAGTGAGGCTGGACGCGGTGGCTCACGCCTGTAATCCCAGCACTTTGGAAGGTCGAGACCATCCTGATCAACATGGTGAAACCCTCGTCTCTACTAAAAATACAAAAATTAGCTGGGCGTGGTGGCGCATGCCTGTAGTCCCAGCTACTCGGGAGGCTGAGGCAGGAGAACCGCTTGAACCCGGGAGGCAGAAGTTGAAATGTGCCGAGATCCTACGACTGTACTCCAGCCTGGCGGCAGAGCGAGACTCCGTCTCAAAAACAAAAAAACAAAACAAAAACAAAAAAACAAAAATAAGATGAAGTGAAATCACACCTGTTTACAGTAACAGCTTGAGTTCTTAAATGTGGTCTTTTAGCAGCAGTAGCTTGAATAATCTACCTGCAAAATTTCTCTCCATCCCCAAACCTTATTATCTCTTTTCTTTCTTTTTCTTTTTGAGACGGAGTCTGGTTCTGTTGCCCAGGCTGGAGTGCAGTGGCACAATCTCAGCTCACTGCAAGCTCTGCCTCGCAGGTTCACACCATTCTCCTGCCTCAGCCTCCTGAGTAGCTGGGACTACAGGCGCATGCCAACATACCCGGGCTAATTTCTTTTTATTTTTAGTAGGGACGGGGTTTCACTGTGTTAGCCAGGATGGTCTCGATCTCCCGACCTTGTGATCCGCCCGCCTCAGCCTCCCAAAGTGCTGGGATTACAGGCATGAGCCACTGCACCCGGCCTTATTTCTTTATTTGATATATTTTTGTGGCAAAGAAATCATAAAGAAAATATAATTACATGTTTAGCTATGACAATGTCATTCTAAAACCCCTCCATTCCTTTACAAAGTAAAATTATATATAGTTACCTCTTCATACATGTTTTTGCGAAACTCCAAGTCCTCAGTAAGGCTCTGACAACGATTTTCCAAATCCACTTTAAGTAAAGTTTCATCTGCTAACTGTTTTTTGGCAGCAGCTAAGGAGGCTTCCAACTATTACGAGGAAAAAGAATTGTGATAAAAATTACATGGCAATCATTTAATAATGAACTTAAGATATCTATGGATCAAATCAAGTGTTAAAATTCCTATAAATTTATCAATGTATAATTACTTCATTTGAACATTTATCACAGAACTGGGTGTTCATTTGCTGGCCCCACCCACAGAGTATCATACCAAATCACCTGTCAAATTGTTAATTGGCAACAGGGAACAGAACAGAGACATATGACTCACTCACATTTCAAAAATCAAACTAGTTATTTTAGCTAACCACTTTCACTTTTTCCTGTGTGGAGAGCAGCATTATGGCATCTCTTTTCTTACTTATTTCCTAACAAAATAGGCTTTGACAGCAGAGACAGAACGAGTGTGCATACAATAGGAAAGAAGGGAACCACAAGATCTGGACAATCCAGATGTAACGCCTGAGAGGTGACAATGTTTTGCATGTTAGCTACCTCAAGACTTTTCTTCAAGTAAACCATCAGAAAAGAAATAAATAAAAATTCAAAAAGAAAATACATTTGAAAATCAATCAATCAAATAAACTATGGCTTAAGGCAGACGAGGCAATTAACCTGCCACATAAGGCTCAAGAGTAGGCTTGACCTCACCTGGGCAATCTGATCCTTCAGATCCTCCAAATCTCCCTCTAAACTTTTTTTGTCACCAAGTGCAGTAGCAAGAGCTGCATCTTTAGAATTCAGTGCTGCTTCATATTCTCGAAGTTTGATCTGGGCGCCATTAAGATCAGATTCTTTCTTAGCATAGCTGGAATAGATTTAAAAAGCATAAGATATCAAACCATACTGATGACTTGAGGTCTTCTCCCTCTCTGCTGAAGGGACAAACAAAATAAGTAGTTTAAATAAAGGCTCCCATCACCTATCAAAATTAGAGAAGCAACTCACAGGCATTGGATGTAGAGTTTTTGTTGGCTAACATTCTCTTTCAATGTCACATGACTACTAATGACTATGGGTCAAAGACATCCATATAAAGACCAACGTACCAGAATCCTGCTTGTCCCTGAGTGAGACTACACATCCCTCTTGTTCTATAAAGAGGCACACTAACACAGAATATTTCTGAAGAAATGAAAATTCATTATTTTTTAATACAAAGCATATTATAAGCCAAAACGTACAGGAACTATAAGTCAGGATATCATGCTAGGCACAGTGGCTTACATCTGTAATCACAACACTTTGAGAGGCCGATGTGGGAAGATCGCTTGAGAGCAGGAATTCAAGACCAGACTAGGCAACACAGCAAGACCCTGACTCTACAAAAAAATAAAAAATAAAAACAGCCCGGCACAGTGGCACACACCTGTAGTCCCAGCTACTCAGGAGGCTTAGGTGGGAACATCGCTTGAGCCCAGGAGGTTGAGGCTGCAGTGAGTCATGATTGCACAACTGTACTGCAGCCTGGGCAGTAGACCAAGACCCAGTCTCAAAAAAAAAAAAAAGAAAGAAAATTAAATTACACTAAATGAGAAAAAAATGTTATTCTAAAAAGTAATTTTATAACTCAATGCATGATACTGAAACTTCCCTGATATTAATAAGAACTAATTGACCCCAAGCTTTGCAAGTACCTCCCATTTTGTTAGATAGAGGTAACAATAAATAATGGCCTCCCTAATATTTTGCATAAAAATTATTTCAGTTTATACAACTAACTACCAAAAAACTGAGGTTCAGGGCTGGGAGCGGTGGCTCATGCCTGTAATCCCAGCACTTTGGAAGGCCAAGGCTGGCGGATCACTCGAGGTCAGGAGTTCAAGACCAGCCTCACTAACGTAGTAAAACCTCGACTCTAGAAAAAATACAAAAATTTAAGCTGGGCATGGTGGCGCCTGTAGTCCCACCTACTCGGGAGGTTCAGGCAGGAGAATCACTTGAACTTAGCAGGTGGTGGTTGCAGTGAGCCGAGATCATGCCACTGCACTGCAGCCTGTCTCAAAAAAACCAACAAACAGGTCGGGCACGGTGGCTCACGCCTATAATCCCAGCACTTTGGGAGGCCGAGGCGGGTGATCACCTGAGGTTGGGAGTTCAAGACCAGCCTGACCAACATGGAGAAACTCCGTCTCTACTAAAAATACAAAAAAGGCATGCAGGCGTGGTGGCGCATGCCTGTAATCCCAGCTACTAGGGGGGCTGAGGAAGGAAAATCACTTGAACCCAAGAGGAGGTGGTTGCAGTGAGCCGAGATTGTGCCCATTGCACTCCAGTCTGGGCAACAAGAGCAAAACTCAGCAAACAAGAGTAAAACAAGAGCAAAACAAAAAACAAGCTGAGGTTCAAATTGAAGTTTCTTTTTCTCTAAATATCACTTTTTTTTTGAGACGGCGTCTCACTATCACCTAGGCTGGAGTGCAGTGGGGCTGATCTCCGCTCATTGCAACCTCCGCCTCCTGGGTTCAAGTGATTCTCATGCCTCGGCCTCCCAAGTAGCTGGGATTACAGGCGTGTGGTACTAGGCTGAGCTAATCTTTTGTATTTGTAGTAGAGATGGGGTTTGTCTATTTTGGCCAGGCTGGTCTCCAACCCCTGACCTCAAGTGATCCACGGGCCTCAGCTTCCCAAGATGCTGGGATTACAGGCATGAGCCACTGTACCTAGCCTCTAAATATCACTTTTTTTTTAATGGAGTTCTACATTATAAAATTATAGTTCATTTGGATATAGTTTGCCCAATAATTATATTTTAAAGTATTTCTCTCATTCAAATAATTGTTAACAGTAGTTACACAGAGAAGCCTTAATAATATCAAAATTATTGCCAGGCATGGTGGCCCATGCCTGTAATCCCAGTACTTTGGAAGGCCGAGGCGAGTGGATCACCTGAGGTCAGGAGTTCAAGACAAGCCTGGCCAAAATGGTGAAGCCCCGTCTCTACAAAAAACACAAAAATTAGCAGGGCATAGTGGGGCGTGCCTGTAATCCCTGCTACTTGGGAGGCTGAGGCAGGAGAACTGCTTGAACCCGGTAGGTAGAGGTTGCAGTGAGCCGAGATCGTACCACTGCATTCCAGTCTGGGTGACAGAGACTCTGTCTCAAAAAAATAATAATAATATCAAAATTATTAATACCTGTTCTTAAAACTGCTATTGTATTTTCCTTGGAGAAATAGGATTTAACTAAAAAAACTGCTATCGTAGAAGAATACTTTTACTTACTGATGTTTGAGGACTGGCTAAAGGAGGAATCTTTAATAAAAATCTCAAAATAATATTGTAATATTAAAATAAAGTGAAGAAATAAACTGGCCAAATGACGATCACATATGAAAAGATTTAATAGCATTCACTTTTTACTCATCATAAAAGCTCAGCAGTCATGTCACATGCTTAAATCTCATGCTTTAAAACACCACAAGATGGCAGGCTTTAACTGAAGACTAGTCTAGAAGAGGGAAAAATTAACTGTTAAAAAAAAATCCCATACTGTAATAATTTACAATCAAAATGCCTAGTTCACACTACTGCTGGGTCTCCACAGGAATGAACTGACACTTGTGAAGGAGCCTCTATTTTGTCCCACTATAAAATTACCAGAAGGGCTAGGATATATGTCATAATACATATGCTTGAAAATGAAACCATATTTTAAATGCAGTATTACACAATACTTACAAAAGCTACTGACTCAAAATTAATTACTTAACAATTACAAACAGTAATTTTTAAAGCTCAGGTCATAAATGTGGTACTTCTCAATGTGATGCTGCCTCATGGCAGAAGAATGACCTGTGCCTTCCAGGGACCGAAATGGTCCAGCAAGAATGATACTGCATAAAACAGCATGTCAACTTTACAAGTTATTGTATGCAGCAACCTGTAAAATTGGCATATTTTATGCAATATCGTTCTTGTTTATTTGACTTCACAGATTTAATAGGTAATATAAGCAAATAGCTCAAAACTTAGGATGTCATACTACCAAGTGAAAGATACTGTGGGCAACATCTTGTGAAGTGTAGAAAACACAAGAAGTCAAAAATTAATCCAAGGCAGTACACCCAGATGACTAGAATATGGTGATTTCTTCCATAAAAATAAAAACCAAAGAAGATAAGGAGGACAGGGGATGAAGAGAGTATTTACTTGTGGTACCCCGAGGGCCACCCAATGATGCCAGTGGAAATTTCATAGGAGCTTTAATTTCAGTCAAGACTAATGCTTCCACTGTTCATTTTATGTCAAGTTCTTAATCAAGTAAAACACTGTTCCATGAAAATATAAATTGTTCTGTTATAAATTATTTCCTGGCAAAGTGCCGTGGCTCACGTCTATAATCCCAGCACTTTGGAAGGGAGACTAGCCTGGGCAACATGGTGAGACCCCATCTATACTAAAAATAAAAAAAAATAGCCAGACGTGGTAGCACATGTCTGTAGTCCCAGCTACTAGAGGGGCTGAGGCGGGAGAATCACTTGATCCCAGGAGGTCGAGGCTGCAGTGAGCCCTGATTGTGCCACTGCACTCCAGCCTTGGTGAGAGAGTGAGGCCCTATCTCCAAAAAAAAAAATATATATATATATATACAATATATATATATTTTATATATATATAAATTATATATATAGGCTAGCTGCAGTGGCTCACACCTGTAATCCCAACACTTTGGGAGGCTGAGGCGGGCAGATCACCTGAGGTCAGGAGTTTGAGACCAGCCTGACCAACATGGAGAAATCCTGTCTCTACTAAAAATAAAAAATTAGCCAGGCATGATGGCACATGCCTGTAATCCCGGCTACTCCGGAGGCTGAGGCAGGAGAATTGCTTGAACCTGGGAGGCAGAGGTTGTGGTGAACCGAGATTGTGCCATTGCACTCCAGCTTGGGCAACAAGAGTGAAACTCCATCTCAAAAAAAAAAAAAAAAAGAAGAAGAAGAAGATACAGTGTAGGGTCCAGTATCCCATCAATCCCCATCCCAACAGTCCTAGTTTTCTGCAAAACAGTTTGAAAACTCCTGACCATCAAGCAATATTCAAGCTCCTTGGCATGGCATGTCCCCCTACAAAGCCCTTCAGATCTAAGTGCTAAAGACCTTCTGAGCCTGGGACTTCACTCTCCCCTGCTCCATGCCATCTATTCCCACTCCTAACTCCATCTAATTCCTAAGCAACTGCCATTCAAAACTAAGACCAAGGATGCAACAAATGTCATCCTTCCTCTGTAATGCTCCCCTGCTTTACCTCTCCTAGCAGAAAAAAGTCATTTACCTTTCTGGGCTCCACAGCACTTTGTGCGTCATTCTCATATGGTGCATGGTACATACATCTTTTTAAGATTTAAGATTCCAAGTCTGTCTCCTACACTGGAATGTGGGTAAAATGAGATTACCTTCAGATCCTCAGTGCTTGACAATGTCTGGTATAGGGTGGGGATACTCAATAAAATTTCTGTGTTAAAAAATGAAAGCAGCAAACCACAGAAAAGCAGTACTTACAATTTTACTTTAGTGTAACAACTCATGGAAAGATAAGTACTCAGCCTCTGTTATAGAGGACCAAGGTTATTCTGAGACCCAAACAGTCAATCTAGATCTGCCCTGCAATGCCTGTACAAGCCACCACAGCCTTCACAAGCAGGTGGGCGGCAGGCATTGTACCAGGCACTGAAGAGAACTCAAGAGTCAGCTACCGTCCTTGGTGCAAAGTAATTTATAGTCTCTTCTCATAGGAGGTTATGAACACACTTTTGCTTTTTCTAACCCACACAAACGTACAGTGGCATTTATATGCACTCTTATACACA